GAAAGGTTTTTTTAGCACCTGTTTATAGTTCATGGTTAGCTGGCACCAAGGCAGGACAGCATGGCAGAGACGCACAGCAGAGCACAGCTGCTCATGGCATGGGGGATGGAAAGGAGAGACTGAAGGTAGGAGCTGGGGAGAGAGCTAAACCCTTCCGGCCACGCCTCCAGTGACCTGCCTCTTCCGGTCAGACCCCACCTCCCATCAGCAAGTTAGCTATGAACTCCCCTAATCGAATTACTTTCCCAAAGTCCTTCCTAGGAGTGTGAGAGGCTTTGAGGGGCCATCAAGATATAAACCATAATAGCTACTAGAGTTGTTTTCTTAGAAACCTTCACAGAAGGCCCCCCCAAATCCTTTTAAGTGAGACTGCACTCCTCTCCTGCACCACCTTTTAGGATTCTGTGTGCCACTATACTACAGCAATTACATGTTGTTCTGCAGTTGTACTTAGCGACCTTGTGTGCCTGCCCTGATGGCCTGTAAGTAAGCTCCTCTAAGGATGACCCTATCTTTTTCATCGGTTTGGAGAACTTAGCATATGGTAACCACTCAAAAGCATCAGCTTGATTATGGTAATGTACAAGAGTTGGCAGAGAAAAGTAAAGAGAATGAATTTTGCTTCTTTTATATTCTAAGACTTAAGTTGACCCCTTATTAAAGCTGTCACCAGCTTCTACTATGCCTGTGCAAATTGGAAGAAAGCACACCTCCCCTAAGGCATTTCATTGCCTTCGGCTGAAAAACAATGTAATTGCACATTCCACTCTAAAATGTCTGCAGTGTCATGTTCTGTCTCATGTTGCAGCCTCATGCAGTACACAGTCTACACAACTGTACTCAGCAATGTGTTTTGTTAGAATGTCTTTTGAGTAGATAGTGTTACTTTCTACATTACCACTTTGTGGAGTTGCTTAAATTTTTATCCCCTGCATTTCTCATAATGATAATTGTTGTCTTCCATTTTCCATAAGCTTCAGTCTGCTACCCCTACCACCACATTAAGATTCCAGTGGCTCTCTCCACTCTTATTTGGCAGATGGCTTGCCTTTTAAATCCCGAGGAAGAACAGCGTTTTCATGGGGCAAACCTTTCCATCAAGTTTCAGATGAAATGGGACCCTTCCCTTTAAGGTTATCCTTTTCTTCAGTATTCTGTATTGTTTTCTTTGCTGCCTCCTTGAAAGTTCTTGTTTCCCATACTATGCTGTTCTGTACTATCTTTGGTCTTCAATGCTGCCTTAGTCAACTTTTCTGTTGCTATAATAAGTATGCAGATGATCAAGTTATACAGAGAAAAAGTTTATTTTGGCTTATAATTTTAGAGGCTCCAATCCATGGTGTATTGACCCTGTTGCTTTTAGGCCTGTGGGGAGTCAGCACATCAAAGCAGGAGTACATGAGAGAGTGAAATCTGCTTGCTTATGACCAGGAAGGCAGAGGCTGGGGTCCCACTACCCTTTTAGTACCCCACCCTGAGTCATGGAAAGACAACCACTAGGCCCCACCACTTAAAAGTTCTACCGCCTCTAGTAGTGGCACTTTGAGAATCAAGCCTTTACCTTGGACCTTTTGGAGGAACCCTTAAGATCCAAACTGTAGCGATCCTTGACTTTTACCCTTTTGGCTACTATCAAGCATACAGATCTTTCCCTGAGTTAAGGAAAGAGGGGAAACACAGCTTTCGTCTGATGGTTTGTAACTTTTTAGCTATAGTTTGTTTCCCTTTAACCTCTTTTATCCTTTGGAATATGAAAATGGATATATGCATGCTGACATTTTTCAGTATTGTCTGTTCATCTTACCAATTTGCTACTGGAAATTCATTTTTGAAGGTCTAAAGGGTCTTTTTGAAAATCAAGTTTAGCAGTATCCCAGGTTTAGTTTTCTTACCATTCATATTTCTAATTGTCCAGTAGTTCTTCACATTGGAAGTTTCCCAAAACTACCCTACATGCTTAACACTTCTCTTCCCTCCATATTATTTTCCACAGTGAACTGGTCGTAGTTTTAATTTACCACTAGGCTGTGGACTCTAAAATCCACATATCTAGTCATGAGTGACCAAATATCCAATCTCAAATCTCCAGTAGCCTTTGATGCATGTGTTATTCCATTCAAATCAAATGTTAATTGTAGGCTCTTTTGCCATCATTCTCCCTTAACTAATCACCATTCAGTAAGTATGTTTTTTAACCTTCCTACAAATTTTGTCAAGTCTGAAGTAAATCTATCCTTTTAGTAGACTCTCATTACCTCAAACCTCCATTGTTATAGCATCCCTAACAGCCTACTTACTGATACTTCTCTGTCCTGTCTCCTAAAAATGTCCATTTAATATGCTGCAACATATGTCATTCATGCAGAAAAAAAAAAAAAAACAACTAAAAAGCAAAACAAAAAAACCCTCCTGTGAATGCCAGTTAAACTAAACATAAAGACTAGAGTCTGTATTCTGTTACCCACTGACCTTTTCAGCCTGGTCCTAATTTCCAGTTTTAATCTTCCAGCATTGCCATATCTGACCCACCTGCTTCTCTCCAGTTCCCTAAAATCTCCAGGTCATCTTGACTCTTTTCTCTTTGAATTCTGCAGTATAAATTGTCAATGCTCTTGATTTTGGCACCTGTGAACATACAGAGTGCTTTAGTGTATTGTTAACTATCTCATTTACATAAATCAGGATTATAGTACAGCAAGTACCTAACTTTTGAACATTCAAGTTGCAAACTTTCACAGATACAAACAGACCTTGCGTTACAAATATTCGTTAGATGCAAACAAATCATGGAAGTAGCATGTATGTTTACCTTACCATTTTAAGATAACTGTAAAAGTAAATATAGTTTATTTATAGTATTTTTGAGTGTATGTTTGGTTTTTTAATGCTTTACATTGTATATTTATATCAAATGTATGTAAGACTCACTCTGTCAGACTTAAGGAATCTGACTTATGAATGTGCTCCTGGAATGGAACTTGTTCATAAGTCGGAAACTTGCTCTACTTAAAGGATAATGATCCTGAACTCTATGTCTTTTCAGTTTCTATTTATGGAATAAAGTTAATACATAAAAAGCTTAATACATACCTTCAATAAATGGGTCTTCACAGAACTCTGAAAACTATAGATTGGGCAGTCTGCATTCCTTTTGTGCCTGTGTTATATAGGATTATTACTTAATATATTATTCAACCATAATTTAGGGCAGAAGTTCTCAATTTTTTTGGTCTCAGGTTCCTTTTACTCCCTTAAAAAGTAGATCCCAAAGAGCTTTTGTTTATGTGGGTTAAATCCATTGATTATTTATCCTTTTAGAAATTAAAACAAAGTTTGAAAACACAGGAATATTCAAGTAAACATTCTGTTAGCCCTTAGAGTGATGACACTATCATATCTCTTTAGCCTTTGGAAAACTTTACTGCCCATTCAAGAAAGAAGAGTGAAAAGAAAATAACATCTTAGTGTTATCTTGAAAATATATCTGACATTCTATACCCTGTAAAGAATTCAGTTGACCCACCACAACCATCACCATACACACACAAATTATCTAGTCTACGCTTCAAAAATTGTTGGTCTAGGATAATGTTAGTTTTAGTCAAGGAATTATAAGTAGCAGACTATATCAGTTGTTTCAAATTCTTTTCATATAAATGAGTCTGTATAAATGAGTAAATCATTAATAAAAACAAGATTACCAACTGTAGGGTATATATGACACCTCTGTGTACCTTATTGACAATAGGACTGTTGAAAGGAGAGAGAAAAATATGTATCAGACAATCACACTGAAGGTTCTTCTACACAGTTCCTCTGAGTACAGTAATGTCTTTACTTGGAACCTGCAAGTTAACATAACTTGCAGTTGATTATTGGAAAATATATCAATAATCAGCTCATCTTTTGTATTGGTCAGCCTTCCCATGCTGGCACAAAATACTTATTTGACTCAGCTTCAGAGGGTTCAGTCCATGGTCAGCTGGCTCTAAAGCAGAAATGCAAGAGTGGAAGGGCCTATAGGGGGGAAACTGTTCCATAGGGTGGAAGGGCCTGCAGGAGGAAAACTACTCAACCAGTGGCAGGCAGGAAGCGAGAGAAATGTGGGGGACTGCCACATCACCCTCCCCCAGACCCAAGTGTGATTGTGTTTTCTTACAAGCAGTGCAGTCTGCATAGAGGTGACTTCCCTAAATTGGTTTTCAGTTTAGTGAGTCTGACTAAGGCTGTGTGCACATCTTTATGAAAGCAGGTGGCTGATAATGGATTAATATATAGTTTATTATCAATAGCTATGGTTGAGCTCAGATAAACAAGCTGTGATACCATAGGACTGATATGAGATAATGTCTCCACTGAAGCCCACATGACCCCAGAGGAAAGTTCCTTCCTAGAATTGGCTACAAAGTAGGTTGTTCACTAACCATAACCTAAATCTGGCTCTTCCTGTCTGTTCAGCAAGAATTCTTTATTCCTTCTGTCACAAGCCTTGACAGCTTGCCACTTGTCTAGCACATCCAGTTGCAGTCCCCTCACCATTTTCCTCAGTGAATAAGTACCAAGGTTCTGCGTGGCTTGTAGCCTTTGTTCCTGGAGAGCAACTGGTTGTCCCAGGTCCCTGCTATGCTTGCTGTTTCTTTTCTTTCCCACTGTGTGCTGTAACCCGGGCAAGCAGGTGGAACACACTGCATGGGTCTCCAATAGAAGAAGCCAGAGACAAAAGCAAATCCTTTCAGTTCATGCCCTTAAGCAACCCACCTCTTCCAAGTAGACCTAGCTTCCTAACATCACAGTCAGCTATGAACTCATCAATGGAGTAAAACGCTGGTGATTATAGCCCCTCCGCGATCCTCCTTCCAAAAGTACGACCTCGGGATACTCACTTTGGGGAGACATTCTAGGTCTATACCCTAACAGCTTTCGTTAGTTATAAGTTTATCTGTAATAAATGAATCAGAAACGAGGCTATAGCTATTTCATTGTGTTGTTTCATTTTTTAGCAAAGTTCTAATGGCCCTGTGAAGAAGTCCATGCGCGAGAAGGCTGTTGAAAGGAGGAGCGTTAATAAAGAGCACAACAGTAACTTCAAAGCCGGGTATATCCCAATTGATGAAGATCGTCTCCATAAGACAGGACTGAGAGGGAGGAAAGGCAACCTGGCCATCTGTGTGATTATCCTCTTGTTTATCCTGGCTGTCATCAATTTAATTGTGAGTATTGGTGCAAATATTCTCTTTTTAATTACCACGGGGCAAGTTTTCATCCTTTTAATAATGATCACATGGACTTAGTTTCTGTAATTTCTTTTTGGACTGTCTTTTCTGCCTTTTTTGGCATACTTTATTGATTTATAAACTAGTAGGCTAATATTTTCATATATTAATCTCATTTAGAAAAAATGGTTGATGGATTCTTACTTTTAAAGCACTTTTAATAAGAGTAGAGACAACTGACCAGAGGACAACTTTGCCATGGTTTTATTGCCTTCATCTCTTCTAAAACAATAACTTTTTTTGTTTTTATTCAGCTGTTCTTGCATTGATGTTGCCTCTTAAACTAGGTTTTAAAATTGTAAACTCGCAGGGTGTGGTGGTGCATACCTGTAATCCCAGCACTCTGGAGGCTGAGGCAGGAGCATCGCCTGAGTTCAAGGCTAACCTGGGCTACAAAGTGAGTTCAAGGCCAGCCTGAACTGCATAGTGAAACCCTGTCTCAAAAAGACAAAAAAAAAACTTTGACGGCAGTCATGGTCTGTATTTTATAATTCTAAGTCCCCACTGTCAAGAAAGAAAGCATCTAGTAGGTGTCATACCATATTGCTAGGGACCTGGTATGTTGCCTTTTCCATGGATTTTTACTGTTTTAAAATTTAAAAATCTTTTAATAGGGGCTGGGGATTTAGCTCAGCGGCAAAAGCGCCTGCCTGGCAAACGCAAGGTCATGAGTTCGGTTCCCGGTACCGGAGAAAAAAACAAAACAAAACAAAAAAAATCTTTTAATAGTGAGATCATTACTCTCTGGAGGTTAATTTTGAAACCCTCAGGCATGTGTGTAGATCAATGTTTTCAGAAAATGATTACTGGTATACCTAAGAATGCTCATAAGTGTAATCTCTAGTAGCTCAAAAGTGCTTCCATTTATGTTGTTTTTACTTCTGATGTTCTTAAGCCAGTCTGTATTTTATGTACATCAAAACATTTGTGTCTAGGGCTGGGGATTTAGCTCAGTGGGGGCTGGGGATTTAGCTCAGTGGCAAAGCGCCTGCCTGGCAAGCGCAAGGTCGTGAGTTCAGTTCCCGGTACCGGAGAAAAACCAAAAAAAAAAAACATTTGTGTCTAGTTTTTCACTGAAGTCAGCAAGATCTGGTACTCTGCATTGTATAGTAGGGACCATAAATAGCTTTACTAAGAGCACATTTTTTGAATTTAGTGTATCTAATAAATTGGTTTCATTGGAAACTCCAGGTTACGATTACAGATTAAAGACATTTCCATCTTATCTAATAAACTCATCTCAAAATAATAATGTTAAAAACAGAAGTATCTTTGAAGAAAGTGGAAGACAACTGCAGTCCTAAGCCACAATAAACAAAGACAAAAAGGAGGAGGAGGAACAGCAGATAACAGAGGAAAGATACGTGTGTGTTTTGGGGGCAGGGTGATGGATTGTGTTGGTGAAGTGCTTTGTCCAACCCTGAAAGCCTCAGGGGTTAGAAGTATAAGTCCTCTACCTTGAAAATCAGGAACTGAAACAGAGAATTTGTTTGAAAACTCTGCTAGTAGTGAGATGCCTGGGCTCACCCTCTCTTCTAGCAAACAGTTAGACAGCTACCCTTCCTAGCCCATCCGTGTCTGGACATCCTAGACCAGACAGGTTATTTTTGTCTGAGGTCATTATACAGAGAGACCTCTCTGGGTTTCCATCCTAAAAGCAGGACTTTTTGCTGAGTACTGGGACTCCATTTCCCATGCTCTCTGTACCCTCGTCCTCCATCTCCAGCTTCCTGGCATTAGGCAAGAGATAGAGGACACCTCTCTAGCGAACTGAAATACCTAGGTAAATGATGTAATGGCAGTCAGTGCATTTGGTAGGTCTCAGTGGAAAAAACCATCTAGTGTCCCTATTGTGACAAGCCTGACCCTACATAGAGAATTTTCTGTGGACATTTCATAGAATCACTGTTAAATATGAACACTGAGCCAAGGATTACTAGCCTTGTTTTAGGGAATACTCCAAGAATCAGAATAAGAATTTACATGGAGCAATTAAAGAATAAGAAAGAATTCATAGAAATATACACACATGGATAAATGGATGGTTGCTTATTGGAAAATAAAAGAAGCTCTTCCAGAATGTTCAAGAAAATTGAAAAACCAGTCTAGGAGTTTTCTGTTAATTAGTAGGAGATTCAGAAGGTGAGAAGAGAGAAAATACTATAGGGAATATCATCAAATTAATGAAGAAATGTTTCTTAAATAAATGGAATCCAGTATAATTTATTAAAAAGAGAAAAAAGACTCACATCCAAGCCACTACTGTGAAATTTAAGAAGACCATGAGTAAAGAAGAGATCCTAAAATCTTACGGAGGGAGGAAGAAACAGGTTATATACAAAAAACACAAAGTCAGAGTGGTGTTGGACTTCTGAAAAGCAGCATTGGAAACTGGAAGGCAAAGAACAATGGCTTTCAATGTTTAGAAAGAAGGTAATTTCAAATCAGTGAGATGCCCACCCAGAGTATCAATCAGGTGTGAGGAATTATAGAGACACTTGGAGAGCTGAAGACAAGGAAACTGAATATCTCACATAAGAGAAAGACCAGAGTCACAGCCAAAAATGAAGGAAAGGTTCACAGGGCTGTGCAAGAGGCCAGAGACCAACTAGTTCGGACTGGAGCAGATGATGGGTTCCAGAGAGATTTTCTGAGAGAGAAAAATAGAACTAATACTTGGGCTAATTATCTTCATTATCTGAAGCCTGGACTTAGAGAACTTTTTATTGAGAGATTTGTGCAAATGTTAGAGGATTTGAGAATTAGATTTTTCAAGAAAGCTAAGCAAATGTAAAAAAGGTTAACTCCAAGAGCCCAAAGTACAAGAAAGAAGCTGCTATCATAATGCAGTATGTGGTGTAGCAGTGGACAGCGTTTACATGGCCATAATTTAGAAAGTACTGAACATGTCTGCCCGCCATGTCACCCTGAACATGCCCTGCCTTGTCTGATCTCAAGAAGCTCAGCAGGGTTGAGCCTGGTTAGTACCTAGATGGGAGAAAGTACTGAATGTGAGTTTAACTTAAAACTTGAGATTAGCGTTGGGAGAAAAAAAAGACAAGCAAGCTAAAATTCACATATGCTACAATAAGAAATAGATAAAGCTTAAACAAAGGAATAATAGTATAGATATATTACTTATAATTATGTGGGTAAATACAAGGTGAAATAGTTAAAATTGTTGAAAATGGTTATCCCTAGGGAATGAGATATGGAGAAGGTAGATGAAATAATAGACTGCTCTTTTTTTATTGTAAACCTTTTAGCATATTTTAACTTCATAGCAATTTGCATGTAGTATCTTCATAAAAATAAAATTGGTTTGTTTTTAAACAGAAAACTACTTGATACGTTCATCTTCCTGACTGAATATTTCATGAACTCTTTAATGCTTTGGCAGTGATCGTCTCTGTCTTCCAGATGGGTCGAGTGTATGCTGCTTATTAACGGAGGCCTTGCGCTCTTTCTTCAGATAACACTCGTGATCTGGGCTGTGATTCGAATTGGACCACATGGCTGTGACAGCATGGAGTTCCATGAAAGTGGTCTGCTTCGATTTAAGCAAGTATCTGACATGGGAGTTATTCATCCTCTGTATAAGAGCACAGTAGGAGGAAGACGGAATGAAAATTTGGTTATCACTGGCAACAACCAGCCTGTAAGTCACCGTGTTAAATGTGGTGTGAACATGGAGAATGTCAGCAGGGAGCGATTCTTCACAAACAACCGAGAGTTGATTACTGGAAATGCATGTCTTCCTATGCAGGAAATAAAAATACTATTACATATTCATGGATGTATCTTTTTCAGAAAGAGTCAATATTTAATAATGGTTTTGTAATCTATAATGTGCGATAGTTTCTTAATACTTTAGAGTTTGTTCAGTGGTCGCATTGTTAGATGTAATTAGTACCAGAATACTTAAGTCATCCTTGTCTTCTCTCTGCGGAAACCGTCATGAAAGCACATTCCCCGGTTAGAACGCCTTGTGTTTCCCGGGCTCTGGCAGAGCAGCTGCCGTTCTGCTCAGTAGTGGACCATGCCGGGTGGCAGCTGCAGTACAGGCTGTTAGCTGAGTAAAGCCTCAAGAAGGTGTTCCTACCGCCTGTCGGCCGCACGCACTCTGACCTGTGCGTTCGCGCAGAGCCTTAGAGGCCTTTATTTTGAAGAACTCTTTTCCCAGGTGAGGGAAGTGGGGGCAGATGCAGTTAAAAGTATTTGAAGTCAGTCTGTTATAGTTTTAAAAAATAGTGTTTGTTCGTGTTTTTAAAGATAGTGTTCTTTATGAATTCTGGTTGCAGCATTCTTTGAAAACATTCACAATACAATATTTTTCTGCAGATTGTTTTTCAGCAAGGGACAACAAAGCTCAGTGTAGAAAAGAACAAAACTTCTATTACAAGTGACATTGGTATGCAGTTTTTCGACCCAAGGACTCAAAATATCTTATTCAGTACAGACTACGAAACTCATGAGTTTCATTTGCCAAGTGGAGTGAAAAGTTTGAATGTTCAAAAAGCATCTACTGAAAGGGTATGGTTTATTTTCTTTGCTTGACTCCTAGGAGAAGATTATTAAATAAAGTTATAAAGCAGGAGGACAGTCTTACTATTTTACAGTGGTATGAATGTATTCCAGAATGTTGGAAACTGCTAGTTTTAGATCTTTTATTATCTAGTTTGTCTGAGCTTTATTAAGTCCTTTATATCAGTTCCCACCTCTATAAAATTTCCTTTCATATCTCATGGTCGAAATTACCATTTCTCT